CTTGAGATGCACAGTCAAGTTCTGCTTGACTTGCACTGGTTTAATTACAAATCTCTATCCAGGAAACATACTAGTTTTTATACTTTTTTCTTACGGTGATGTTATGTGAAGCCTTCTGAATGTTTTATATCCAGGAGTCCATTCTGGGAATGCTTCAGACCTTTCCTGGTTCTCATAGCTTGAAATCATATCTTGTGACAATAGCACTCAGGGATAAGGTAAACTATGCTGGATTTGATCCAATTCCTGTTCTAGTTTTAGCTTGCTTTGCTTACACAGGAGAAATAGTCCAAGGATAGTGTGAGTTGACTGTCTGACAGTCCTTGCTGAAGATACCTGTTGTGTTCTAACTCAGCTCCGCATGGCATCTATATATCACAGGGAAATGTCATGACCTACATTGGAAAGGGTTTCTCTTGAATTCAATGGGCATGTCTAATTTATTCTTCTCATGAATTTAAGGGGACAGTGTTATCAAACTAGATCATCTGGAGTGAAAGAAAAAAGTGGTTATATTATGCTGAAGTCACTAGTTAGTTGTAAATTAGAAAGCTCAGGCCCTGCTAGTAGTGTAATCATCTAGTGCCCAGCATGGCTAAGTGCCCAAGTATTTACCCAGCTTCTCAGGGAGGTTCGGCAGCCCTCACTGTGCTGCAGCACCTACACAGATGAAATGCTAGTTTAAAACTAACTTGGGCATGTTTGCATGAGCTTCAGTCACAGCAGCATTTTCAGCATAGATATAACCTGCATTTTTTTTTCCAAAGAATATAAAAAAATTAAATGAACCAATAGGCAAGCTACATGCACAGGAGTCCTTTCACCCACCATTGATGGAACGCAGTAGCTCTTTAACTGTGTATGACACTTTACAAGAGAAAGGGCAAGAGAGAAAAGTTACAAATTGGAGTTAAAGGAGGTAGATTGTAATAATGATGGAATTTGACCAACACATCGCAGCTCAGATTCTGACCCTTCGAAAAATGCCATAGATAGAATATTGAGTGGTAACCTATGATCAGGACTTCAGTTTTACCTCTCCAAACAGCACCTTCAACAATACAATGGCCTGTACGCTAATATTGAGGGCTAGACTCAAACAATGCAGCCATCTACATTAGTTCCTGCCATGTATATTGGTTCATTTACAGACCTACCTCTCTGGGGATATAGTCTACCAGTATAACCTGATACAAACCGATACAAGTTTTCAGGTCAGGTACAGTGGTGCTGCTGACCAGAGCATAAAACAAGCATGAACAGCACCACTCTAAACCCAAGATTACATTGGTATAGCATATCTACGTGGAGAGTTTGCACAACCATGGTAGTAGCGATACAAATATCCTCAATGCAGGTGGATGCTAAGTTTTTCACACATTAAAATACTCACCAGTATGACTCTGCTTAGTTTGTAAGACTTTCAAAATGCAAGGTGATATGGCTGCAGCCAGGAACCAAGACAGCAGGGGGAAGATTATATTCCTCTTCAGAGGGGTTTTAAGTTTGCATAGTCCGCTCAGTAATTTTTCTCCAAATGTCTTGTGATCCCTCTCTATGAATCAAGTGTTTCACTCTGGATGAGAGCTTCACTTGGTGTAAATTAGTGCAGCCTCTTGAATTTCAGTGGATGCTGGAAGTCTGGCACTATCTTTCTGCCCTAAATTACACCAGTGCAGTGATTTTCATTAGTAAAACTCAGATACCATTGAGGACCGATCTGGCCCAGAGTATATGAAATTAATTTAACAAGAGTGCTCAGTCAGGAGTGAGTTTATCTTCTGCATCGCAGGAAACATTTACAGAACTTTATTGACTTGCTGAGTAGGTTTACTTTCTAAATTATACTCTTTAAAAAACATAGAACCATAATTAACGGTTCACGGTCTCACTCATGTAGTTCCAAGAATATACTCGTATATAGGCAGGCTCTCTTTTCCATGCAAGGGTGACCTGGTATAGAGTTAAAATAATCCCAGCACAGCTTGCCTGTAGGTAATGTTTTCTTTTGGAAAGTGATACTGTATTATTTATGTTATTTCCAACCATACCAAGAAGGAAATATTCCAGATCCTTCAGCATATAAATAAATGGAATGTGTCAAGATACTTCATGAATGCTAGATTTAGGGTTTTTACAATAAAATGGATATTATATCCATTAAAATTCAAAGAAGATAATACTATATATTTCTAAAAAATTGTAAATTAATCTAGTGTCTTTTGTTTATTTTACATCACAAAGTTACAAAACTCATAAGTCCTTTGATACACATTAAAATACAAATTGTGGGGCTAGAAATAAACACACTCCTATCTCCTCTACGAATGACATAATCAGTAATGAATTTTAGAAGAAGGGTGCAGCTTAGATTAAAAATAACCTCACTGATACCCTTCAAGTGCCTCCCCAGCCACAGACCTATTTTAGGAAAATAAAGGCTCTCAATGAAATTCCTGCACTTGTGTCTAAGCAGGGCTCATACAGCATTCTGCATAAATGATGTACCCTGGAACAGCATGAACTGGTGGTGAAAGGTTGAGAGAAGCACTTAAAACCAGCCTCATCCATTAGCTCCTGATTTGGAGAAGACATCATCTGGCACTTACTTTGCATGACAGGGAGAGATGCTGACAGTGAACAGTGTCGTAAAACACAGATAGCCAATAAGCCATGAACAAATCTACATTATAATTCTAAATCAGAAGATTGAGTTCCATGGAAGATGAATAAACCAGAAAAGGGAATCTAATAGCTGTAAAACATCAGTGGGTGAGAATTTAAAGAAGGAACCATGAGGGAAGAATTGGGTTCCTTCTTTAAATTTAAAGAAGGAACCATGAGGGAAGAATTGTCTTTCGTTTTTGATGATACTCATTTATGATAATACCAAAAATGTGCGCTGTAAATTTTAAAGTTTACCTTACATTATAGATATTAAGAATCTTTCCCATTTTGTTGGAAGCCTTATTTGGAGGACCCACAGAAATGTTAACTAGGAATGTGAATGCAAATAATTTAAATCCTCAGTCAGTTTGTATTTGCTTGATAGCTGATGTTATAAACCTAGTAGTTGTCCAATCATCCACAGTCTCTTTCAGGAAAATGTGATCAATAAGACATTAGTTACTAATGAAAATCATAGACACTTAATATGAAATAAACATGCAAAAAAAACTATATACCTGTTTTGTTTTGTTTTTTCTCCTTTGCAAGCCACCTTTAATTGCATAGGAACTCAGTAGCATATACTTCTCGTTACCGTAAAAGAAAAATGGTGAAATTCCAATTCTCTTAACATCATGAGAGTATCTGTTTAAAAACAGGAAATGTCTTCTTGACTTTACTGGTGCGGCTAACTTTGTTCCATGGATAAAGTAAAACATTTCCATAATTGATTATCATCCTTCATCAAGCATCAAATAAATCATTAATGTCACTTGGTGGAAAAGAGTTAACTAGTACTTGCATCCCCAATACTTGTACAAATATTTAATTATCACAAACCTCATGTGAAATTGGCATTTACACCCTTCTTTGTAGGCGAGAAAGGTGACAGAGAAATTAAGGGTCAGATCTTAGAAGAAACAAGCATCCAAAACTGTAGCTAGACAATATGGAAAATAAGGCATCATCTGATTCACAGAGCAAGTCTTAGGCTAGGGACAGACATTACACATAAACTGGTTTAAGTGATCAGAAACTGGTTTAAACCTGTAACAGAACAGACATTCAGTGAGCATAAACCAGTTTGAAAATGGCTGAAACCAGTTTGAGATAAACCTGGCTGAATGTGGTATCAGACTTAACTGATTTGGCTCAAAGTGGTTTATGCAATATCTGTCCCAGACTCCTTGCTGGTTTACGTTAAACCAGACTCCCCCAGCATCCCAGCATTCTCTCTGGGGTGGGCAGAGCTCTGTTCTCTGCTCCAGTTAGCTGGATTGGCCCCTTCCCTCTGCTCTCTAGCCAGGGCAGGGTGCGGCCAGATGCTGACCTGCCATGGCCCCTGAGGCAAACTTCTCTCTCCATCCCCTCTCCTCCTCCTCCCCTCCCCACCGCCTCCCCAGCTGGCAAACCCTGGGGACCACAGCTGTGGTTTGCCAGCACCAGCTGCACCTCCATGGCTTGCCTGCAGCCAGGCAGGGACAGAGTTAATTCCTCCCTCTGTCCCTTCTCTCCCCTAGAACTCCCGGGGGTTTGGCTGCAGTCTCTGTAGCTTGCCTACAGCCAGGCAGGGAGGAAATTAATTCCACAGCGTGTCCTGGAGCTGGGGGAGAGAGAGTCCCCTGCATGCAGATCCAAGACCTGCACCTGTGAACCCAAAGCTAAGACCTGCAGGACCAGACTGAGAGGTGGAAAGTGTTGGCAAAGACCTGACAAACATTCATCACACATGCTGGAGATGTAGTTAAGGGAAGTTGCAGACAGCTTCACCAAAGAATGCAGAGAGCTACATTTACATTATAAAGCAGAACATGTAAAAGGTGGAAATACCCAAACAATGCCTTTCTGAATGCCTGGCTATAAGGAGAGACTCTGCCTTCAGGATTAGTATAACTAATTCTTGTCTTCCTGATTTGCATTTGAAGTTAGACTGAATTGTGTATGCTGTTTTACTGGGCTGTATCTTAGCTTAGGCAAAGATTTTTGGTAGTTCCCTGTTGTACGCTTTGCAAATTGCTGTGTTCAGTACTTGCTTGCTTCAGAGAAAGGACTTTTTCCCCATCCCCACTCAGTCTGGCAGCAGCTGCCCCCTTCCCTCCCCCACTGGTGGCTAGCATCCAATGCATCGTGCTATCTCCGGCTGGTGCCTGGCCACGTCCCCTCTGCTCCATCAGGGAGGGATGAGAGCCTTGGCGGGTGTCTCTCTTCCCTCCCCATTGGCAGTGGCTGGCAGGCATACTCTAACACCCCCTAGCTTCTAGCTTGAGCCAC